GCAAGTTCAAAAGCCAGGGAGGGAGGAGGGCTGGAACCACCCCCAATTTCTACTCAGATATTACGTTTCTCTACTCAGATGCAAGGCGCCCCCCAAGAGCTCATGTGTAAGACCACACAAGAGTTCAGAGGTGAGGTGACTGGGTCCTGACAGCCTTAACCTCATCCGTGGATTAACCTGCTGATGCAAATCAACTGGGTGGTAATGAAGACTGGCAGGTGTGGCTGGAGGAGGTGGTCTCAGAGGTGTGCCTTGGGGGTTCTATATTGTGAGCTTCCTGGTGTGATGTTCAGAGGTGCTTTCCTCGCCATGCCCTTCTGCATGATGTCCTGCTCCACCCACGGCCTACAGCTCTGAAGGCAGCTCTCTATGGACTAAGACCTCTGACACTATGAATGCCAAATAAACTTTTCCTTCTCTAAAGTTGTTCTCATCGGGTCACAACAGTGAAAAAGCTGACCAAACACCAAGTGATCCATTTCTTCTAAAGGAAGAAAAGATAAAGTGTTTGATCAAGAACCCAAACAAACAGAAAACGTGTTAGGTGGGGTTCTGCCAGCACCATAAATGCCAGAACCCAGCCCCTCCCTCAACCCCACCCATGTTACTTTGTGAGTGCTGCTGGCTGGGATGGAGTCCCAGTCCTCTGACCCCCGGCCTTGACCCCTGCCTGCATCCTGCCCTCCCACCAGCAACCCGAGTTGTCCCAGGAGAATCTGATCCTGAAGATGGGGCAGGAGGGGCCTGTGGGAAACAACCTGGACACAACAGTGTTCCTGTGCACCAGAAACCGCTCCTTGCATGCCCAGCCACAAGGAAGTGCTACTCTGCAGAAATGAGACCCTGGCCCAGCTGATTCTAAACTGACCTAAGAATCAGCTCCTGTGAGGCAACTGATGGTCAGACACAGGGTTCTGCTATGGACACAGCTGCCATTCATCCAGGAAATCTCAATTCCTCTCAATGACCCACTAGCCAATGTCCTGACCTATGAGATATCAGACTTTCCATATCCTGGAAAGGGCCTTGTCTTTCTTRTGGTGATTTATCTGGGTCTGTCCTTTCTTTGGCAAACTTAGGGTACTAGATGTGCCTCTCCCCACAGGCTGACCTGGGTGGGTGGTTTGCCTGCTTACAGGAATCTGAAGTTCACAGGGACCATTCCCTAGTTATGCTGCAAGGGAAGTTCACATGTGGCTTTACTGCTTTCCTTCTTGATTTATACAGTTTCTTGGAGGCAGTGTAAAACAATTCAGATTCAGATGTAATCCTGGAATATCGAATTCACTTTTGAAGGATACCTTTGGTGGATATAGACTCCAGGGAAACAGTTACATTCTTTCTGGATATTGAAGATACCCTCAGGTACATTCTATTGAGAAGTCAATTTTAGGGAAGCATTATTCTTCTCTGATTGATTTGAGAATTTCTGTGTTTAATTAAATTCACTTTGATGAATTTCCATTAATTCTCCCCAGGATTCACTGGCCTCTAGAATCTGTGAACTTCCATAATTTTGGAAAGAGGTCATTCATCATTTCATCACTCTTTCCTTAGTTCTAAAACCCCATAAATAAATAAATAAATAAATAAATAAATAAATAAATCRGACTTTCTAATTACATCCCTACACTGCTTACTTTCTGCATTCTCATATTCTTAACTCTCCAAGTTTCACTGGGCTATTTTCCTCTAACCCATTTTCTAGTTCACCAATTTTCTCATTAGCTGTATCTAATGTGTTAAGCTTGTCCGTGGGATTTTTATTTTTGGTTACCATGTCTTTTAATCCCAGAAAGTGTTTTGGGTGATTTTTCAAATCTCTTATGCAAAAATCATATGGTCACCAATTCCCCGAAGATACTTTCAAACTTCTTTCTTCATACATAGGAAGCACAGTGGTTTTATAGTATGTGCCTAAGGATTACAAAAGCTCAGGTGGACCTGGCTCTGTTATCTGTTTTCTCTCGCTTAAGGAGTCTTGAATGTGCAATCAAGGTCATTTCATTTGAAAAGAAAATATTTGTAGGAACAATTTAAGTTCTGGGGACTCCCTCCTGAAAAGAGGTTGTTTTTACTTTTCACAAGCCTCCTGAGGAACTCCAGTCCAGAAACTCCACAACCCTGGTCCTACACCGCCTGAACTAGAGGCTATGGGAGTCCTGAGAGCTGAGTGGCTCGCACCACAACCCACATCTCACCTTTCCACTGTCAGGAAGTAAAGGAGCATTTGCTGATTCCCTATTCAAAGTAAGCCAGGTCTTATCAACTTGCCCAGAAGACTGCCCAAACTACAACACCCTTTAGGGTTATTCTTTCAGCCTGGGTGCTGTGCTTCTCTCCTGAGGTTCAGGTACTGTGTGGTCCAAGAAGTACTTGTTTCCTTCATAGCAGTTTGATGATTTTTAAGAAACTTCTTTTCTTTTGTTTCCCTTTTTGTTTGTTTGACAGCTCTTAGTTGTTTTCAGTGGGAAATTTGATTGGAATTATCTAGTCTGCCTCTCTGAAAGTAGAAATTCCTCCTCTTACCTTCTCCTCCAATTCTAAATTACATGGCTCCAGTCACCATCTCTCACTATGTGGGAAACTCCAATTTCTGCCCCAAGATTACAGGGGAAATCCTGGACTTCTCACCAGCCAGCTGCCCCTCCTGCAATGGTCTCTGCTCCCCACCCAGTGCCAACAAAAGGCCCCTGCCCACTCCTACCACACGGCTTCCATGAGGAACCAACTCTCTTCCTTCAGGCACCACACCTTCATGTGCACAGAGCCCTGGAGGTTAAGGATGCAGAGCAGCGCTTCTCAAAATGGGAAACTCTTGAAAGTGCCTCTGGCTCATCGTTGGTCACTCATTCCCCACTTCTGTACCCTTCCCCCCCAGACAGGTGCCCACTCTCCGGTGGCCTCCTGCCTACATCTTCACAGTGCCACCACCAGTGGAACACCAAGATTCCTTACTTTGACCCTGCAGAGCAACGTAGCTCCTTTTCTGAATGAGCCACACCCGGACCTATCCACTAACCCTCACCTTTCTTCACTTGCAAGTCCATGAAGAGTTTTCCCTCACCAAAGTGTCAAAATTTTCTGAAATACATACTTACTTTCCCTGAAAATGCAGAAATGAGGCAGTGGACTTTTTATAAAGCAAATTTTTTCTTCCTAAAATAGTCTGCCCTTAATAAAATCTTTGAGGTCTCCAAAAAAGTTCCAAGCCCACAGACTCTTTCTCCTAGTGGGATGATATGCAGAGGAGTGATCTCCAGAGCCAGGCCCTGGTGCTTCCCCAGGTGCCTGCTGGAGGCAGAGGATCCCCACCAGGGCCACTGTGGCAGGTTCCAGACCCTTCCTTCCGGAAAGCTTGGGTGTCTTCATGTTGAGGACAACACAGAAATTCTTTAAGGTTCCACAAGAACAATGGGAAGCAACAGGTCAGACAGCTCAGCGTGTGGCAGAATGAACCTCCTCACTGTGGAAACAGACCCGTTAAGAGCACAGGGTGAAGATGCCACACTCAGAAGCGATGCAGAGCTGGACGGATGCTCTACTGAGGACAGGTCCCACTGGGCTGCTGCGACGGCCATTGCCGCTCTTTCAAAAACCACCCAACAAATCTGCATCCTGCTTCTTTCTGAACCACAGAACAAGAGAAAATCAATTCAAGTATTTCTCCAAATGCAGCACTGGAGCAGATGAGCACTGGCCACAGCTCTCCAACCTCCAGCAAAATATAAAGTAAGCCTTCTGAGGGGCACAGGAGGAAAAGAAGAGTCTCCTAAGAATGAGTAATTCACATCCACTAAGAATTGTAATTCAAAGAACTAAACAGAACGGCAACACTCATAAAACTGCAGGTTGAAGGAACAAAATCCAAGCACAGTCAAGCGCAATCTTACTATTGTGTGTACAATGTATGAACATAATGTACTGACAGAGGCAAAAAAAAAAAAAAAGAGTAGTATTTTGAATAGATAGGAAAAAAAGTACCCAAATATAACACTGAATCAAATAAAGTATCATTGGAAGAACTGTAYAAGACTTCATAATATGGAAATGAGGCAATAACCATCAGCCACAGAGCTAGAAATCAGACTCCATCAGGAAACAGAATGGAGTTTATAATTTGCATGGCTCCACTTTATAATGTCATTCAGGAGCTTCCCTCAGAAGCCTGTGATGACAGGTTTCTCTGCAGCAGGTCCAGTGAGGGCACTTGCACGTGCTCACAAGTCAAACTGCCAAGTCCAAGTTTCAAACAAAGTACAATTTCTCTACATCCAGGGAGATGATTTGCCAGGCTCACCTGGGACGCTCTGTGAAAGCACAAGTCTCCTGGGCCGCTCACCATGGCGGGCTGGTGTCACATGTACTCCTGGTTCTGCTTGGCATCACTTTGTTAATGCTCTGTTCATTAATTTAACAAACTATCAGGAGAATACGCCTGGAACGGGTAGCATTATCTCTCAACTTTCATTTAATTAAACTCTGCTAGTGCAATATGACAGTCAGCACATCAAGGGGGAATTATTTTAAGGATGAAGGTAAAAAGTATTCGAAGTCCCCACTTAAATGTGGAAGCATAATCTAAAATTGCCAGAGAACACACTATAATTTTTCTATAATATTAAAAGATGTTATTTCCAGACTTGGTAATTAATTGGATTCCATGGAGAAATTATTCTAACTTCCTTGATAGCAAAAGCATGCACAAAGCCAGGGAAGAGAGTGCCAAAGGACAGCCATAAATAGCCGTCCCCAGCTCAGTGAGGAGCAAGGCTGCCTGCACAGAAGGCACTCACGGCATTCCTGCCACATGCCTGAATCCTGATCACCACGCTGGTTGAAAGGGGCAGGGCAGGTTCCTGGAAGGATTCACAGGGATGAGCCCCAGCAGGCTGGGTGCCACTGTGTCCTGTCCCACCAATGTCCAAGGCCACCTCCCCGAGCCTTCAACCAGGCCTCTTCCCACCCTCAAAGAGGGGCAGCTCAGGAAGCCAACTCACCATCAATCCGGCTCACGAGTTCTTCCAACATCTTCACTTTCATTTGAATCCCAGGTTGGGCAAAGGTGTAGTTGTCCTAAGGGAAAAAAATAATGTGTATCATGTGCATATAAAATAAAACTTGAGTTTCCAAAAAGGAAACAACTTGAGAGTAGTGAATGTTTCACAACCTCACCAATCCATAAGCCACTAGATTTTAACCTGAGAAACGAGGACAGGAGWGCACACAGCAGCATACCAGCGCCTCGAGGGAAAGCCCTCGCGCATACCTCAGGAATGTGGAATGGTGTGCTGCTGTGTGTAAATGTAAGATATTTACATTTAAGTTGAACAAACAATTTAAATGTGTAGCTCATCCCTCTCCTGGGCTGACCACCTCCCTGGTACCAGAACAGCACACACTCAGCCTGCCAGGGGCAACTTATGGATCTTCCCAAAATTTGAACTCTCAGAAGTGAGGGTGTCAGAGGCTCATGTCAATGTACAGGACTTCCAGGCCCTAAAGGGGCCTCATTCACTCCAGTGAGACCTCAGCACTCCACCAGCTGAGACAGAGTGGCAGCAAAAGGTAGGGAAAATTATAAGCTTGAATGCATCTGAACCAAACAGGCATAAGAAATTTTGGTCCTGGACTTCAGTTCCTTTGAATGTATCATTTTTTGCTCTGAACTTAGAAAGGTTAGCCTATTCTCCTAGGCAACTAGGTAACAGACCAAGGTTTATTTTGAAATCTGGGACACATTTATACAGTGTCATCTAACCTCATGGAGGAATTTCTAATGAGCCGGGTTGAACAGCACAGCTGGTAGAATTAAGGATGACAAATAAACTAGAGAGTGGTTTGCAGCCTCAGGTGCAGAGAGGCCRTGCAGATTATCTAATGTCCTGTTCTGACAAATTTCAGAGCCATCAGGAGCACAGTCCAGCAGCCCACAACCTCCAGGGTTGTCCCAAGAGAACACCTGAAGGAGCAGGTGCCTCACAGTAGACTGTACTGAGCTAAAGCACTGTGTATCTCCTTACTACCCAGCTAGCTGACCAGGGGCCTAATGGCTATGCAAACAGCAAGCTGAAGAAGCTGAGGGTGACTCTTGCCCCAGACCTGGGGTCTGCTTCCAATCGAAGGGAGTGTAGCTGCTAACTCTCCTGTCCTCTACCTCCAGAAGCACCTCTCCAAGGAGACAATCCACTACACCCAGGAACAAATGGCCTGGGGTGCAGCCCCCCATTGAGTCACAGAGTTAGCTACTCCCTGGAGGCTCTACTGCACAGGAGGACAAAGACCCAACTGGCTGGGAGGCCAGCCTGGACAGCTTTGGGACTCATTCAGCTGGATCACATTAAGATAGGTCAAGCCACCTCATTCAGCAGGAATAAAGTTATTCTTTGGTGTCACTCTCTCTCTCTCTCTCTCTTTTTTTTTTTTTTTTCCAATTTGTTCAAACCCAGGGATGGAAAATGGGTTGTCGAAAATTCAAACAAAGAGAAAAGAACAACACCCAGAGTCTACAAAAAGAAAAAGGTTCCTATTTCAACAAGGCCTGCCAACACTACCAGGTACGCCCTGGCAATCTGACTGTAGGCTGGAGCTGGAAGACCACAGACGCGACCAGCTCCAAAAGCAAAGGCACATGTTTGGGAGGGCTGTACCCGGCAGGGTGAAGCACAGGCGCCTGGCTGGGCACTGGCTGGGCCTGCACTGGTGAGTGAGCCCAAGGGCCAGGAAGCCTTTAAGGGACCCATCAAAGAGAGAGAACTAGAGCTGCAGATGCCAGAGGCAGACAGCTGCGCGAGAAGATGTGAGGAGAAGGGCCTCTCAGGGGAAGCACTGGCCACACTGGCCTCCACCAAGGCCTCCAGGCAGACCAGGGGCTCACCTGGGGCACTCTCTTCCAGCAGCCCTCCACCCACCAGCACCCCAGGCCAGAAAATAGCACTCAGAAAACATCTGCTGTGTGAGTACATGCACAGGCACCCAACGGAGAAAACCCAGAGCTGAACACTGGCAGGAAGTCAAGGGTATAGACATTAATATCACGCCCTTCACAGAGGCAGCATGCATATTCTTTCAAACTGAGATCTTTATTTGGGGTCTTCTTTTAAAAGGGGGCAGATTACAAAGCACTTCATTTGGAGGGAAGGAAGCAGGTCTCTGGACTTGGCAGCCTTCTGTGAGATGCATTACAGAAACAACGCTGCATCAGCAGACAGGGCCCAAGGGGACCCCATGCACCTGCACCTGCTGCCCTCCAGTGAGCTGCCCTAGCCACAGCAATAGCACTTCCCGACTCTTCAGAAGAACAAACCTTTCCAAGAGAGCATTTTTTCCCATATATATATATATATATTTTTTTTTTTTTTGTATTGTCCCAAGAGAGCATTTTTAGGAGAGTGGACATAAGCCTCCTGGTCAGCTCAGCTGGAAGGGCCCAAAGCACCCCCTGCTAGACCTGCAGCTCACAGTCAACATCTCTGACAAAGCATCTCCCACCTGCACCAGAGAGCCACCTCCCCACGGCCTCCAATGCCCTTCCTGGCCAACCTCATCTGTCGGCAATCTGTTCACTGAACACTTACTGATGTCTCCTATGTGCCAGAAAATTAAGTCCCGAGTATCAATGCTTTGGAAAGTACTGGAATCAGCAGGCCTGGGTGCTGCCCCTGAACAGTACGCAGCCAGCCAGTCCCTGTCTGGCATCTGGAAACCTGGACAGGGTGGGTCTCAGCACTCCCTAACCAAGAGTGGCTCGCTGTGCCTAACCACACAGTGTGGCAACAAACAGTGCCTGCTTGACTTCTGGGAGTCTGGAATTTGGGTGCACATCAGGCAGAGTCCCCAGTAATACCTTGAGCCCTTCCTTCGTGTTGTCATGGCCCACAGATGGGGTAATTACGCATGTCCTCTGTGGCTCCACAGGGAAGGACTTCAGAGCTCCTGGTTTCCACTGGACTCCACCCTATTCCCTCTCTTTCAGCTGTGAGTATAGCTCAGCTGATCCTGTGAGCCACCACACCAGGCTGGGTCTGGGGTCCTGACACAGCAGGGAGAARTACGGGCAAAGTAACTTCCATTCCCAGAGCTGGCGATATGCAGCTAAGCAAATACCCATCACACACGTCACGCAGCACATGTGTGGAACTAACTGTGCTCGGGGCACCTTGCTGTATGGTACAGAATTGGACTGACCTGGAAGACCACTCTGAGGATACGGGGCCTGGGCTGAGCTGAGAAAGATGGTTCTGAGTGAGCAAAGAAGGGAGCACCATATGGCAGTACCACAAGGGCCCTTGGGAGCACAGCACATTCAGGGAGGGTGGAAGGCCCAGTAGCCAAGGGCCCATCCAGAAGCCAGGAAAGGCAAGAGAAAGCCACTCAGCTGGTAAGAAAGATGCAAAGCCATCAAGGAGTTAACGAGGTGGAAATGGGGGGCAAGCACCATGGTTACAGGATTTGTATCTGAAAAGACGCTCTGACTGCACATTATAGAAACTGCAGAAAAGGACCAAAGAAGATGGGGACACTGGTCATGAAACAACTGCTGTAACCTAGGTAGAAAGATGGTAAGAACACGGCACTGGCTGAAGGTGTACCCAAATTGTCCAAGCCATTTCCTTCTGACCTAGGCTAGAGGGGTTTCTGAACTTGAATGTAGGACTTCACATTTATTCCTATTAGGTGTTTAGCAGATTGGTTCTCGGCTGGCACTCTGGGTAGCTAAACTCAATCTGAATCCTGATCATGTCATCTATCACATTAGCTGTCCCTCCAAGTGCGGTGGCTACACTGATACTGGCAATGTCTTCATTGTAGTCTCTGAGAAGAGGGAAGGACAAGGACGGGGCCCTGTAACACACCTCTCAGAGGCCACAGCAGAGCAGAGATACAGTATACACACAGCCTGGTTTCACTCCYGGCTTTTCCTGCTAGCTTAATTTCTCAGATTTTCTGTTTCTCAGCCGTACACTGGAAAGAGAAATGCTCCTCCCAAAGGCACTGGGGTATTAGATGAGTGACTGTTTCTAAGAGGACCTCCGACAGTGTCTGCCCCTAGAGTGCCCCAAGCTCCTGTCCTAACTCCCATGCTGGTGCTGGCCACGGCCCAGCAATTAGGACTGAAGGCTCCAGGGGCCATGACAGAGCAGCCAGTGCTCCTGCTGCAGACGACCTCAGAGGCAGGCAGGCAGGCAGGCAGGCCACACCTGTGTGCAGACCCAGGGTGACGGGGCACAGAGTCGGCTAACAGTGCCCGAGGGCTGTCTGTCAAGGAACGCATGTCCTGGTCCGTGCCTGCAGTGTGGCCCAGGGTGTGCCCCACAGAACACGGCTGAGAAGACTGTGCCAGGGGCTTTGAGGCAGAGATAGGAGGGAGCACAATTCACTCAGCTTGGTGGCCCACGTGACCCGCTGAGGCAGGTGGGGACACTGAGCAGGCTGGTCAGGAGCTACAGTGACACCTGGGTGAGGGTGAAGCCATCACTAGAAGAGCAGCCAGCCAATGGGCCARTGTGGACATGGACTCCAGAGAAGCCAGCCTGGAAAGGTGACATGCTGGGGGACTGCACCCAAGTACATTCTGAAAAGCCCAAACTGTGGAGACTGGGGATTGACGGGGCTGAAGGAGAGGGGATGAGGGATGCACGGGGAGGGTGCACAGGGAAGCCGCAGAGCCACAAAACAACTCTAGGTGACACTGCCATAGTGGGCCTATGTCAACAGATATTTGTCAAAACCCACAGAATGTACACAAATTAAGAGATTAAAATTAGTCTTAATTAAGAAATTCATGATGGTGGACTAGAGGAAGGCTGCGTTCCAGTCARGACTCAGCAGCAGGAGCTCTGCCTTCACCGAGGGTCAAAGAGGATTCAGAGATTCAGTGTTGGACATTAAGAGACTCTTAGGGATTCAGAAATCCGGGTACACTGAACAAAGAACAGGAGTACACTGGGGCCACACTGGGGACAGCGGCTCCCGTTCACCACAGAGTAGACGGATGCCACAGAGAGAAACGCAACAGAAAAACCTGAGATCAGAAAAGCAGCCTGAACTGAGCTGCACGGCAAGCTGGTGTTTGA